CTTGTGTTTGGTTGCTGTTTCCTGAAAATAACTTGGAGATGCTCTGACTTGTCCCATCCATTGCTTTGATTCCTTGGATTCCAATCATTCTCTCCCTTTAAGAAAAACAAGTCATTGTTACAGAGGCCTCTGTATTTTATAGCTGCCCTTTTCCCCTGGAATAAAACAATAAAACAAAAACAAACAAAAAAGATGCAACAGCTAACATTCCCAGCAGCAGAATGTAGGCGTTCTAGATGCTCCACATTTTTTCCATTCCTGGTATTGTCAGTCTCAAATGAGCCCCAATGATGTTGGGAATTAATACCCCATGGCTGTTTTAGTGTTAATTGGCTATTAATATTTCTTTTCCATGTCCACTGTGGCTAGAGAGCTATCAGTTTCCTGAGTAGGGACTGCTGAGGATTGAGAAAATGAAAGAAAGCGACAGATACAGAGATAGAAGGAAAAAGCTGGGGTTGGGTGGGATAGCTGTCCTCTGATGGAGAGACAGTTACCTAGAGCAGATACTGTGTGATATTCTGGGTGGGTCCAGATAATCGTGTTTGTTCCTGATGCTTGGCTGGGTTTAGATAATGAAACCCACCCCCTGGTACCTGGAATTGAAGGTCAGGCAGACAACACTTCTGCCTCTGGCAAGGTGTGTTTCCAGGATGTTCTCTGCCAACTCCAGTAGATTCAGCTGACAATAATTAAAGAAATGCTCATGTGCCTTCCCAGGAACATGGCCTCGTGACTAGTACTATTGAGCACTTTTTTACAAATGTATTGCCACTTATCACATGTCTGTTCAAATGTATTACCCATTAAAGCTGTCTTTTCCCTTTTGATTTGTAGGAATTTATTTATTCTGGATATGAGATCTTTGCCAATTGCAAATACCTTCTCCCATTTCATGGTTCACTTTGACAATCCCTTAATCATGTTTTATAAAATGAAATTCTTTTTTTTCTCCTTTTAAATATGATTTTTATGAATTTTAGAGGAAAAAGAAGGGACAGAGAGACAGAGAGATACATATATAGAGAGAAACATTGATCGGTTGCCTCCCATATGCACTTCCACCAGGAATCAAACCTGCAACCTGGGTATGTTCCCTGACCAGGAATTGAACTTGTGACCTTTCAGTGCACAGATAACACTCAATCAACTGAACCACACCAATCAGGGCTGAATTTCCTTCTTTCTTTCTTTCTTTCTTTCTTTCTTTCTTTCTTTCTTTCTTTCTTTCTTTCTTTCTTTCTTTCTTTTTTCTTTCTTTCTTCTTGTTAATATATTTTATTGATTTTAATTTTATATTAACAAAATATATTTTATTAATATATTTTATTGATTTCTTACAGGAAGAGAGAGGGATATAGAGTTAGAAACATCCATGAGAGAGAATCATCCATCAGCTGCCTCTTGCACACCCCCCACTGGGGATGTGCCCGCAACCAAGGTACATGCCCTTGACCGGAATCGAACCCGGGACCTTTCAGTCCGCAGGCCTATGCTCCATCTACTGAGCCAAACCGGTTTCGGCTGAATTTCTTAATTTTAATACCTATATTCTAATGTATCATCTTTTATGGTTAGTAATTTGTATGTCCCTTTTAAGAAATCCTTGCTTATACCAAGTTGAGAATTACATCCTCTTTTCTTCTAAATCAACACTGTCCATAAAAATATATTGTGAGCCACAAATCTGAACCACATATATAATTTTAATTTTCAAGTAGCCACATTAAAAACACAAATCAAAACTGGTGGAATTAATATAAATAATATAATTATAAGAAGATATTTTTTCTTCATTCTTTAAAAATAAGATTTCAAATTCCAGTGTATGTTTTACACTCACAGTACATCCCATTTTGAACTAGCCACATTTCAAGCGCCTGTAACCACATGTGTTGAATGGCTGTCTTGTATCATATCAACCCCGTTTAGGAGCTTTAAATGACATACCACTTCCACTGAACCTTGCCATCCTTGTGAACTGTCCTGGGTGTGTGGCATGAGGTAGCATATCTAGCAAGGAAAGGAGGTAGCTTATAGAAATAAAAGATCTTCAGCACCCACAGCCAATCAGGATCCCTTAGGAACTAAAACAGGGCCCCACAATGCTGGCACATTCTAAGTTTCTCATTTCTGCATAGTAGATGCAATTTATTTCATGTGCATTTTTTTAACATGACAGAGGACAAGGCACCTAGTTGTTCTGAAGTCACATCTCCACAACTTCCAAAAGATGAGAAAAGATAAATCTAATCCTGTTTAGAAGAGCCCAGCTCAGGTCACATTCCTATAACCCACTGCCTGGGAGATGATTATTTTTGCTCAGGGTCATTATGTGCCCATATTTATAATCTTGGGACAGAAATAATTTACTACAAAGGGGAAGCTACTGAAGTATATCATGCCTGTTTCTTCCATGAGACATGTTTAGGGAACTGAGGCTATTCCTTGTGCACTGTAAGCACTAAATAAATATTTGTAAATAGCAGAAGAATGGTCTCCTAACTTGACGGGAGGGTTTAAAAGAAGGCCTAAAGCAGGAGGAGGAATATAAATGCATTTGTTTGGAACTCATTTTTGTGATACACACATAGTTTATGTGTTTAGAACTGTTGACTGTTAAGGTTTGTCAACACCAAAAGTAACAGCATTTTCTTTGTAATCTCCATTTTCTGCCAATATCTAGGTATTAGAAGAAGTATGCTGGTGTCTTTGGTAACTATGTGCCACTTTCTAGAATTTTTTAGTGTGGCTCTGTCTTATCCAATAGCACAACCCTTCTGGCCATTAAGTCTAACTTAAGTGATTTTTCTTCATTAATTAAAAAAAAAGCTGCAAAGAAGGAGAATGTTCTTTTATATTGAAAGAACATTCCCCCTCTCCCCCCTTCTTTAGAATTTATCTAACTTTCTCTCTGAGCGAGGTCTTGGTCTCAATTTATTAGTTCAGTCATTTAGCACAAAATGTAAAATTACAGTGTGCTCTGTCCTAGTTGGAGCCAGAGCACTGTTCCCTGGGATACTGAATGTTCTACTTTTAACTCCTATGTCTTCAGAGTGAATATGTTCCCCCTGTGGGGAGACAAAGGCCTCCTCTCCCCATTATGTTTTCATCAGGAGAATTGTGTGCGTGGAAGGACTTGGAGGGGGAAAATAGAAGAAGAATTTTCCCTTAGTTTTCTTCTTTTAGGACCTTCCAAGATTGAATGAGAAAAACTACCATTTTTTTTAAACTTAAAATCTGGGTTAAAGTATTTATTTTGGCTGTAAAAAAAAAACACCCTGATTTGGTCTACCCAACGCAAATTATGTAGGGTCAGGTAGACAATATAAAAGGGAATGATGTAGCTTCAATTATTTGGATGGCAGAGTATTTATTGATGTGGTATAATCTTCTCAGGTGCCAACAGAACAAAATAGTTCTTACCTTCTGCACACTGCTCTCCTAGTGGCTGTTCCTTTCTTATGTCATCCGAACCTTTCCCCACCCCATCTGTTGTTTCTGTTCAGACATTCCGAAGCATATTTGATAGTGTGCGTAACTGTAGCTTCAGGGTAATGTTAATGTGCAATTCTCATGGAATCCCAAACCACCTAAACCACAAACGTGATATCTGGGATTTCTTTTCTTTTTGGTATTTGTTTTATCGTCCCAATTAAGAAAGTTAGTAGGGTTTTTAAATGTTTTACTTTTCTTACTGTTTCAAGGTAAACAATTTAATCTTAGCTTATCTTTTTCATTCACTTTAAATTTATAATCATACTATAACAGTAATTCATACACTTTAGAAAAAAAACCAACACTTTATACATGATGTCATTACCTTCCAAACTATTATTCTGTGTGTCCCTTTTAAAGCTTTTTCTATATGCATGTTTTTATGCCATTGTAATTATTACTCAATTTTTAAATTAGTGCTTTTTAGTAATTCATTGGATTAACATACAAATGAAACTATATATCTTTTATTTAGTTTAGGTGATCACCTAGGATTAATGAGAATCAGAAAATGACAATTTTCTAGAATCATTGGGATTTTAAAACTTGTCACACTAAGATGGTAATTTTAAATACTGGCTTATTATTGGCAGTAGGAATTTTTTATCTTTTAGTATTGAGTAAGGCTCATAATTGTTATGTGCATGACAGTGGCCATACAGAATCTTTCTAACTTTGTAAATATTAGATTTGATTGTGTTGCTAGGAAACCTCCCCCCCAAAAAATAAATAAAATGCACAGGAAACAGATTATAAAAAAATCTAAATTTTGTTTCATAAGCAGCGCCTTCTGGGTTTCATTCTATTATCTAAACAGTTGCTTGTAACAGCAAAAGGGAACTCCACAATGCTGGGACCATTTCCTGCTTCATTTCATACTTTCTTTCTTGAGTCAAGAGTTTTTGTCGCTCCCTAGGCGTTGCTTTAACTCTCTGGGAAGGTCTGTTACGCATTTACTCCTCTTGGATTGGTTAAGATCCCTTTTAAGTGTGTGGTGCTTTGCTTTGTTCTCTGAAAGGCTTAGGTCATTTGAGCAACATCCTGCTACTGTTAAAAAAAAAAAAAAAAAAAGAGCTGAGTCATGCTGGAGCCTTCTCATGTGGCTGATGCAAACCTGGAGAATTTGCATCATCATTTAGCCGGAGTAAGTTTGTGTGACAGGCAGGAGCTTAAATACCAGCCCACGAGGAAGCTGAGCTGGTCTTAATGATAAGACTGCCGCGGCGGCCACAGCACCGAGGTAGTTGGAGGAGTGGAGGAGCAGGTGTTCCTGAGGAGTAATTACATAGCTGTGAAGGAGAAAGTACACCTCTGAGTTTTTACCTGTGAACACAGTAGTACTGAGAGACAGTCTGGGAACAAGGAGGAAGAGATTGGTTACTCACACCAAGGAGACACCAAAGTTGAAATTTTCAGGTTTTTACCTTTTTTTTTTTTTCTCTTTCTCCCCCCTCCCCCCCCCTCCTCTGTTTCCTTTTTCCCCACGACGGTGTGTCACTACAATGACCAGAAAGCCTGTTGTGGCCACCATCCCCAATGGAGGCTACCTGCCGGGGACTGTTAAAGAGAGCCTGCCTTCCCCGGGGGGCAAGGAGCCCCCTGGGCAGGAGACAGTGATGCTGAAGAAGAAAATCACTTTGCTGAGGGGCATCTCCATCATCATTGGCACCATCATTGGATCGGGAATCTTCATCTCTCCTAAGGGCGTGCTCCAGAACACGGGCAGTGTGGGAATGTCTCTGATTGTCTGGACCGCCTGTGGGGTCCTGTCACTGTTTGGTGAGTGCAGCTTCTTCTCAGGGGGTGTGTCTGTGGAGCTGGGCAGTTCTCTCTCTGGGAAAGCAGAGGGTAATGTTTAAGCAGTGAATGAAATGGCCAAGGCTATCCTCCCAATTTCCTGATTTCTGTTTAGATTTGCGGACTATACAAAAGCAGTGCCCACTGTTGACAGGATCCTCAATTCCTTCAAATCTATTCCTGCGGGGTGTATTCCCTTTTCCTAAGACAGACTGTTTCCTGACTTTTTCCTGGAACCACCAAAGGAAAGGCTAACTTTGATGACCCAGTGCAATCTATGCGAGCTTTCTGTCTCGGGCAGCTGTGCTTGGCTCTGCGTGTCTGGGGCGTCTCAGCAGCTGGCATGCTGAATGAAACACCTGTGAAGTGAAAGCTGGCGTAGCCTATTTAGACACGGAACTGAGTGTTCAGCAGAAGTTTTACTGCCCCCCCACCTTTTTTTTTTTTTTTTTTTTTTTTTCCAAAACAAATGGCAGTCTTTTCCTTTTAAAACTTTCTTTTAACTTCCTGTGCTTGTCAATTCCTAGGATTCTTTCAAAAGTCCTTGATATGGAAAGATGTGTAATGGCACGTGACTCAATCACTATCATGAGTGGATGTATTGCAAGGGTCTGAGCATACTACAGATTTTTTTTTTAACCTTTTCTCTCTCACCTATAAATTTTTGCAATATAAATTGTAAAACTGGAATTGGGCATTCGTTTGCTATGCTGGCTCAGATCTGTTTTCTTCATTTATAGTCCCCTTGGTCTCTAGAGACACAGACCATTGGTCCACCTGTTCACTGAACGGAACTGCTAGGAGAAATATGATTATTAATTTTTCTTCGAGATCAAGATTTCTTCTATCGATTTGACAGTTAATAGTAAAGAAGTAATAAATGTCCCCTCATGAGGTGGACAAATTACTAGAAAGCTAACATGAGTTAGTTGTAAAGGTGACAAAAACTGGTGAATGGTTCAAAAAAATAAGTTTCTTTTTTTTTTTTTGCTGTGGGGTAAATGTTTAAGATATATTTGCTTTTCCCTGGCAAGTTGTATGTTTTGATTTCAAAAGACAATACCCTGTAAAGGTACTAACTCTATTATAACTCTAGGACCAAAGAATCTATATATCTGATTTACAATTCTTCTTTAAAGCTAGGATCAATACATGGATTTTTATATCCTGTTTTGAACTTCTTTCATGAGCTTGAGAATTTAAAATGAAAATCTCATTCCCGCAGAACTCAATTTAAACCTAGAGTAACCATCCTGGAGTTTCTGCAAAGCATGCACATGGGTCTAGGTATTGGTTCCCTGACAATCAATACTGAGATACTGAAGACTCTTTCCAATATATTTTTATATTGGATGCTTTTTTGCACAGCCTATCCACATGGTGAATGGTTTCCAACAGAGTGTAAATTGCAGATCGTTATAATTAATTATAAACAGGCAAACTCTGTCAGGATTCCCAACTATCAATCCGCAGATTAGTTACTCTAGAATCACCTGTGCAAATTTTAAAGTAATAGATTATCTTGGATTCTTTTATTGGAGAATCTAAACTCTCTTGGCTAGAGTAGAGGTCTTGGGTATGGCCCTAGAAACTATTTTTTTTGTTTGTATTTAAATAGAAAATTCTTTCTAGGTGACTGATAAAATGCTAGGCTCAGGAATAGGATAAGTGATACTAAGATTTCACTGAATATCCAAATTCTATTCATGTTGGACAGTGGTACCTAAACTCTTGCTAACTAGTGATGATTTCTCATACTTTTATACTCTGAAGTAGCACAAGTAAAAAAAAAATGAGTGTTACATTTAAGTATTTAGCAGTATGGAAAAACTTTTTACATCATAACAAGATATATTTTTCATTTTTTTTGATAAGTAATTGTGCAAATTAATGGATATAGTTGTTTTTCAAAAGGTACTTATTCCAGGTGTGGGGCCCAGTAATGTCCTTGGAACCTGTTATCTCATTGATACACAAAACATGAAACTGAAATTTTGGGAGGTTACATTACTTAAGTCCATGTGAATTGTATTACTAAATGTTAAAATTTGGTTCACAATGAATTTTATCAAATGCAATGAATATAACTTATAGCATCTCTTTTTTAAAAGCATGTTGTTTCAACCACCCAGAAGTAGATTCTTTAAAACCATCCAGGAAAATGTTTTCCAGTAATAGAATATCTGAATTAAATTCATTTTGTTACACACAAAACTTATCCTATAAAATAATTTAAAGCTTTTCAAGACCTAGAATTCATACTTTTCTGAAAAACAGATAAATTTCTTTTATTATTTACTGATAAGAAAGAGAAAGAGAGAGAGAGCGAGCAATTAATTTGTTGTTCCATTTATTTATACGTTCATTGGTTGATTCCTGTCTGTGCCTTGACCTTGAATCAAACTCACTACCTTGGCATATCGGGATGGTATTCTAACCAACTGAGCTACTGGGCTCGGGCTAGATAAATCTTTATTTTGATATAGCACAGAAATATTTATTAAAAAGATTTTCAATAGCATAAGGTCAGTTTGGGATTATATCTTAGTATGAAATTATGCTCTAAAAATAGGTTACTATTATTGGCATCTATCTCTTCTTTTTCCTTTGTTCCCAGGTTTGTGATTCAAAATTCTTAATAATATGATATTGTCTTAGGAGTTTGTCTTTACCATTTTAAGTAAATTTACACTGTTCAAACAGAATGAACTAGATGTCAAATTTAAGGAAGTTACAAGAATTTGGTGGCTCTTTAGCAATTAGATGACCGTTATTTGTTTTGAAATAGGATGTCATTTATACCAAAGGATGTAATAATATTCCATGCAATATAAACATTGTTGTTTTAACTGTACTGCAGAATTACTTGGTGATATTTATCTTTGTACCTCTTTTATTATAAATATTTCACAGGAGCCATGTCCTATGCTGAATTGGGAACAAGTATAAAGAAATCTGGTGGTCATTACACATATATTCTGGAAGTCTTTGGCCCATTACCAGCTTTTGTACGAGTTTGGGTGGAACTGCTCATAATCCGGTAAGTGCATAAGTAGGGAAAAAAAAAATAAGGAAATATTAATCTATTCATTACACCCTTCTTTGAATTACCATAACTATTTAAAACTAATTAAAACATGCATGCCGCCAAAACTGGTTTGGCTCAGTGGATAGAGCGTTGGCCTGCGGACTGAAAGGTCCCAGGTTTGATTCCGGTCAAGGGCAAGTACCTTGGTTGCGTGCACATCCCTAGTAGGGGGTGTGCAAGAGGCAGCTGATCGATGCTTCTCTCTCATCAATGTTTCTGACTCTCTATCCCTCTCTCTTCTTATCTGTAAAAAATCAATAAAAATATATTATAAATAAATAAATAAATAAATAAATAAATAAATAAATAAATAAAACATGCATGCCATGTGACTATGCTGCAAATATGTCTATTTCAGGATACAGTCTTTGATGAAATACCTTTCTCAATTAATGTTTTAAATGCAGTTTTGCCATAGGATTTAATATTTTAGAAGTCTGTCTGGTACCAGCAGGCCACGGTTAGAACACATGGTTTGCCAACCATGCCAAACTTTTTAGCAGCTACTTTTCTCTAATTGTCAGTTATTCCTTATGACATTTTAGGAAAGATATTAACCTGAAAGGACATGAAACATCTAAATCCACCTGGATAGCCCTAGACAGTTTGGCTCAGTGGATAGAGCATTAGGGTTCAGTTCTAGTCAAGGCCACATACCCCAGTTGCAGGCTCAATCCTGGTTGAGGCCCTGTAGGAAGCAACAAATTGAGGTGTCTTTCTCACATCAATATATCTCTCTCTATGTGTCTCCCTTCTTTTCCAATCTCTCTAACAATCAATGGAAAAATATCCTGAGGTGAGGATTAACAAAAAATCGAGCTTGATAAATCATTCCTTTTGACTGGCCTGTGAAAATGGAGCCCTAGGCTAGAAACTGGAGTTGTCATTCTTGAGGATTATACCACTAAGACATTTCCCTTTTTTCAGTTTTTGTGATTAGGAACTTTCTGTGCTTCTTCACAATTTAGTGTGTCACCAAGTTTAATGCTCTACAAAGAAATAAGACTTGACTTGACATGAATGACTCACATCCTCACGTTAAACAAATCAGTGTCCTACAGTTGTGAAAAATCATTTTTTATTTTACTGTTGTAGCAATGTGTTCCTCTTCCTGACACTCTTGGTTTAGAATCAAGCCCAGTTATGCCAAGTCATCCTGACTAGAAAGTTCCTTACAACTTCATGGGAAACTTATGATATCATTTAAAGTATCCCAATTCCTCAAGTTTTTTTTAAAAAATATATTTTATTGATTTTGTATAGAGAGGAAGGGAGAGAGATAGAGAGTTAGAAACACCAATGAGAGAGAGTCATCGATCAGCTGCCTCCTGCACACCCCCTACTGGGGATATGCCCTCAACCAAGGTACATGCCCTTGACCGGAATCGAACCCGGGACCTTTTAGTCTCGGGGCCGACGCTCTATCCATTGAGCCAAACCGGTCCGGCCCCAATTCCTCAAGTTTAATTGCTTCCAGAAAACATGACCTGCACATTCTGATCACAGAGTTTAACAGAAATAACTAGGAAAACTTTTTCTTCCTGTAAATTTACCAGTAATACACACCTGAGAGGTCATGAGCTTTTATCTTATCTAAATGGCAAAGACACTGATTTATAAGCACTGATTTAACACTGATCTTGATTTTTATAGTCCTACAGTCTCTTTTTAATCAAAGATCTTCAGAATGGAATTTACTTCTTTGATAAATCTATTCTCATTTTAAGCAATTCTACATAATTTTTTCTAAAATCTGAGATTTTCCCCAGAATGTGCCTTCTACTCCTTTCTGATGATCTAAATCTTACTCCTCAAAGGTCAACCCTTAATTCCGTCTTTTTTGTAGTGAATTTCCTGTTCACCCTAGTTGACGGTCTTTCTTCTCTAATTCTTGTGAAACATGCAGTTTCTGCTTTTCCTTTGACATTGAACTTACTAGTACTTAATATTTTAGAAGTCTGTGTTCTGGTTCCCTGTTAAAATTGCCAGTAATTACCTGTAAAACATAGGTTTAAAGGAAAGAAATATCACACATCAGTACAAAGCAGGAGCCATTAGATTGAATTCACACATTCATTATGCTATATTCAATATTTATTGAGTTTCTATTACATGATAGACATTATACTGAACATGTGGGGATAAAATAGTGATTAAGATAGACACAGTTTTATATGCCTGGAGCTCAGGATCAGTGAGGGAAATAGTTATCCATCAAGAAATCACATGTGAATGTAAAGTTGCTACTATAATAAGCGCTGTGAAAAGGAAGCTACGGGGTTCACCAAGAGGGTATACCAGGGAGATCTCACACAATCGGAGGATTGGAGGAAGATTGAACTAGATCTGAGGTAGAAAAAGCTGTCAAAGAGTTGCAGAGGCTCCAGGCAAAGTGTACGCCTATTCTTCTAGTGAGAAGAAGCAAACTGAAGAAAAAAGAGAAAGTTTACTATAGTTGGAGCCTAGAAATGAAGGATTTTTGCATATCCGGAGTATGCTTCAAAAGCACTAAAATGACATGCTCAGATTTTAATTCACACATCAAAAGATTTATAAATGATGGAGAACAGGAAACATAGGCCTGTTTTGGAGGAAGAAGGGGGTCTCAGGAAAAGAAGGATGTCAAAGTTGTAGTGCTGTCTGGTACCAGCAGGCCACAGTTAGAACACATAGTGGTGACTGGTTGTCTGACAGTCTAGGGACTAGGCATGGGTGTTGGGCGACCAAAGGAAAGAGGAAAAGCTGGAAGGGATTAGATAACCCCATGGCTTTTCTGTGTATCCAAAGGAGGGGGATATATATATATATATATATATATATATATATATATATATAAAATCATGTATAATTTTAAGATAAATATTTGAAGAATTAAAAATGAAAAGGTGTGTTACCTATTTTGCTATATACCTACACATATTTCATTTTCTTATTTCACACATTTTCTCACTTGTGTAAAATTACAAGAGTATTTCTATCTTTCAGTTTATACTTTGAATCTAAATATTTCCATGGAGTTAAAAAATTAAGAATAATCACTTGGCTCTTCAAATTTTTGTATGTACTGAAAAAATAACAGTGTCAAGGATGTAGGATATATTTGCAATAAGCACTTACTAATTTTTTATTGACTTTTGCATTTATTTCCTGACCATGGCCCATCCCATTAGATATGCACTATTAACACATTCTTTCTGTGGCTTAGTGAGAGGGAAGACTGCTTTTGGTGAAGCTCAGCTCTGTCAGGATCTCAAGTAATAAACTAGACTTTTAAGGGGGAAAAGGGCAAATATAGAAGAACATAGCCTTGCTTACAAAGACATGGGAAATTTCAAAACTATCCACCAAAGTTATTGACAAAATTTTATTTGAAATGTTGGTGACAACCTAATCAAATATGGATTTCTGAAAATTATAGACTCTCATATTTAACATGTTCCATGTGCTGAATAAAAATACCTCATGTAGTAGTAAAAAGTTTATTGAAGATGCTATTTCTTTTCTATTGTAACCTAAATATATATGTTTTCTAGCCCTGCAGGCACTGCTGTGATATCTCTGGCATTTGGACGCTACTTTCTGGAACCATTTTTTATTCATTGTGAAATTCCTGAACTTGCAATCCAGCTCGTTACGGCTGTGGGTTTAAGTGAGTATGATAGGTATGAATATGAAAAACAAAAACAAAACCTATCATAAAAATGATTGGAGGTAGTTTCTTCTGATTTTTTGCATGGTCAAACCTACTTTTCACACCATGTTCTTTTTTTGCTTATAGTTTGTTGCCGAATCTGTGTTGGAAAAGAATAGTATTTGGAGAGATAATTCATTATATTGCATGTTAGTTTTCCATTGGCTCAATAGTCAGGATAGCTAATCACTTAAATGGCAAAGATTATGTGGGGGACGGGAGTAGGAACATTTACAGATGAAAACCAAATTATTATTTTAAAAAATATATATTTTATTGATTTCAGAGAGAAAGGGAGAGGGAGAGAGAGAAACATCAATGATGAGAGAGAATCATTGAATGGCTGCTTCCTGCACACCCACATTGGGGACAGAACCCGCAACACGGGCATGTGCCCTGATTGGTAATTGAACCATGACCTCCTGATTCTTAGGTCAACACTCAACCACTGAGCTATGCCATCAGGGGAAAAAACCAATTATCTTAGGGATTTTTAATATTAGAAATCCTCCTTCCTCAGTGATAAAACATGCTGAATTATAATTCATTTATCCTCATGGAGTGATGTGTATATGTTGGGTGTGTATGTAGTGTTCATACATTTTATGGTGTTAGCAGCTGTCACTCTCAGTGTTATGGGTTTAGCTACCTATTGGTAATAACTATGAGTCTTCTTTCTATATTTGATTATTAGTAGCATTTCTCAGCTAGTAGTTTTCTTTACAATCTCCAAATTAGTGACTTGCTCATTTTTATCAATGGGCACAGATAGTAGAAAATTTATAGAAACAAAATGAAAAAGAGGATTTTGCACAACATTACATAAGTGATATAAAAGTCAAGTATCGCTAAGTTTTTAAAAGGGTGTAGCTTTCAAACCTTTGACTCTTACTAGAAATGATAACCTAATTCTAGAGGCTAATGGAGTCAAACTATTTTAAGAATCAACATTTGATTATTTAAATTACTCAGAAAGAGAAAGCTACACAAAAATAACTGAATTACATACTCAGAATTTTTAGTTATGTGTAGCTCAGGTATTTCAATGGAACAATGAAGAGGATGAGGACAATGCACATTTGATAGCACAAATGTGTGTGATTAGTTATCTGGAAAAAGGAATTACACATAAAAATGTGGTAGTGGTTATAGCTCAGGCTCTGTAGGCCAGCAACCTGGAATTGAAACTTCATGTCACAATTTCTTAGTTATGTGATTGGGGCCTAAATATTAAACCACTGTAAGTGTCAGTTTTATTTATTGGTAAAAATACCTGTGAAAAGATCATTTATCTTGAATGAAGCTATGTCAAATACTGAAGGCCTTTAGCACAACTGCTCATAGAAAATTCTTGATACATCTGGTATTCCACTTTGGGACACCCTAATAGCCAATGTTGTGTCCATTCTATTCTTGTTCCTCAATTGACTGAGGCAGAATCATACTGCAATTATTATATTTGAAAAGAGAAAGGTAAGGGTAATGTTTTGAGGTTCTCTATAAATTGTCAATAGAAGTTACTAATTGAAAACCATAACCAGCAAACTTTGAATACATTCTATGTAAACATTTACAAAACCACAAATATTGCCCATTTTGGCCTGGAAGTAAGGTGGAGAATGGTTAATACATTACTACCATTTTGGGAAGTCTAGGTGACTATTTTATTATTTTCCCAAATTCTATTAAATAATTTTAAGGGAAAATTTGAATTTTAGGGAAGTTAATGGTAACCATTCAAATCAAAATTTTAAAGCAATTATATGTAAGGATAACTAAGTATGTTATGGTTTGCAAAACTTCTTTATAGAGATTGGTGACCGAATAGTTAACAGAGTCAGTAAATCTTGGATGAAGCTAGACATTCCCTTCTATTTCTGCTATTAGTTATAACATTCGTTTACAAATTCTGATGTTCTTTTGTAAGCTTGAAATTTTGAGGAAATGTGTTCCTATGATAAGAAGCACTAAAAGAGAGAGAAAGCACGGATATTCTTATGACGCAGTGGGAGGTAATGTAAGTCAGTGGCTAATTGGGAAAGTCAAACTCCCCTTGAGAAGAATTTAGCTTTCATGGAGCAACAGGAACTGGAGATGGCAAAAGAGAAGGAGAATAACCGGAGGGCAAATTTCTCACCGTCTGCATTATTCAAAGTTGAGATAGGTGACTCTCTGCCTGCTAGGGGTGAGGTGAAAGGTTAGTGAGAGGTAGAAAGTAGAGTTTAATTGTATGAACTGCTTCTTATATTCCCTGGGGGAGGAAATCATTGTGGTATTTCAATGTATGTAGAAGAGCAAACCTGAAGGCTTGTGTTATAACTCATTCACAGAAAAAAATGAATTTCAAGTTTTTTGAAATGTTAGCTAACCATTAAAGAAATGAGAGTGGGGTGGGGATGGAGAGTTACTAAATGCTAATTTACTCCTCACCCCCTTTAAAAAGTACAGAGGTCCCTGACTTATAGTCGTTCTACTTATGATTTTTATTTTTTTAATATATTTTTATTGATTTCAGAGAGGAAGGGAGAGGGAGAGATAGAAACATCAATGATGAGAGAGAATCATTCATTGATCAGCTGCCTCCTGCACGCCCCCAACTGGGATCGAGCCCACACAACCTGGGCATCCAGAATTGAATGTGGGACCCTTCAGTCTACAAGCCAGTGCTCTACCCACAGAGCCAAACTGGCCAGGGAGACTTAACGATTTTTAGACTTTATGATGATGCGATAATGATTCATACTGTGGATGGAAGGGACCATATGCTGACCTGACAAGCTCAGGGGAGGCCTGCATGGCAGTCTTGCAAACTCAGAGACCTAAAAGAACCACAAAGGATGGCCTAAAATTAAACTTTAACTAAAAGCAGTTGTGGTGGGCAGTTACGTCGTAGGCCAGTATCTTCAACTTTTACCTTAACTGAGCCTATCTGTCTTTTTGCATACCCTTGAAATGTCTGGGTAACTTGTAACTTTCCTTTTTCTGGAGCCCCTGGGGCACAATCAAATGTGCTGGATGACAGGACAGATACCACAAATTCCTTCATTATCATATTAATTGTCCCTCCACCCACCTAAGTATGTGTCCACCATTTTACTTTTTATCATTCTACTTTTTATTCATTGAGGTTCTGCTTCCCAGCATATGTCCACAGTTTGGCTCAAATAAACTCACAAAAAATTCTTTACAGGTTTCAATGGTTTTTTACATTAACATTACTTGGTAGAACCTATACTTCAAATTTTGATTTTAATAATTTCTTACTATATTCTGAGCATATTTAAGGTAGGCTTGGCTAAGCTACGATGTTCAGGAAGTTGGGTGTATTAAATGCATTTTCCACTTAGAATATTTTCATTTCACAAAGGGTTTATCTGGATGTAACCCTATGGTAAATATAGGAGCATCTGGGCTCTACTTCATTTCTGTCAAATTAGTAAGGATGAGAAGCTGTGTTTATTCAAAGCCCTCTCCATTGGGGTAAACATGTGAGTCACATGGAAGTGTAACTGGGAAATCTTATATTCATGTTTGGCATTCCCCTCAATCCCAATACTGACAGTATTCCCTTTACCTTCGGAGGAACCCCATGAATTTTCACTTTTTTTATAGTTTCAAGAAGCATTGGTAATATTAACGTAAAAAACAAACAAACATTGAAACCTGTAAAGAATTTTTGTGAGTTTATTTGAGCCAAACTGTAGACATATGCCGGGAAGCAGAACCTCAATGAATAGAAATAATGTTCCTGAGAATGGCGGGTTACATCTATATTTATACATTCCAATCAAAGGAAAGGGATGTAGGTGAGTTACATGAAATCCACTGGTGATAGACTAGAGCAGTAGGAAAAGCAAAGTGGGGAAACCCCTGGGAATGGATAAAAAGTAAAATGATGGACACATACTTAGGTGGGTGCAGGAACATTTCAAGGGTATGTTATCCCATAGATGCAAAAAGACAGGTAGGCTCAAATAAGGTAAAGGTTGACCTTATCAGTGAAGGTATCACTTAGGGTGTAATTGTCCACCATAACTGCGTTTAGTTAAAGTTTAATTTCAGGCCATCCTTTGTGGTTCTTTTAGGTTTCTGAGTTTGTAAGACTTGAGCTTGTCAGGTCAGCATATGGCCCCTTTCGTCCACAATATGCATATGCATTTAAAATGATATTTTGTCTGTTGTTTTGGTCTCATAAAACTAAATCCAACACTCTAAAGGAAGAATAATATAATAAAAATAGCTTTTCAAAATGTGAGATCTACTTCCAGATCCAACCCTAATAGCCTCTTGTGAGTTTGAGTTTAGTTTATGTAGGTGAGTAAATAGCCTGCTCAGCTCTCATACCTGTGAGAATAATTAGGGGAAGCAAAGAAATTAAAAATAACATGTGATTGCATTGTAAGAAAAAATTAGCGAGTTCTATAAACGCATTACTGTATTTTCTTTTTTAAAACTGTATTTTCCTGGCATCAGTAACTTACATGAAAGAAAATCTAGGACCAGTTCTGTGGTAGCATTTCAAATATGAGCACGTGGAGTGAATTTGTTTCATCTTCTGAAGTCTGGCTATACTTATTCCTTTTCTAGCATAACTAAATTACCAAGACCGCCAAGTCTTAGGTAGATATGCATAGTATTTAAATGCACAAATACTGTAGACAACAACTATTTATTCAGGAGGATAACAGTACAGTGTGTTCCTGAAGTGTGCTGAAATCCCAGCCAAGACAAACGTGAATTTAAGCAGAAGGGGGGGAGTTGCCAGGAGTTTGGAAGAACCAGGTGTTCTAGTGAGATCCTATATGTCTTCGAGCTACTTCCTCCTTGCTACCTAGGAACCAGTGGCAAAAGTGAGGACTCTGAAGGCAGCCTACCTTGGCTCCAATCCCATCTACATGAACCTACATGAACAATCTACATGAACCTCCAATCCCATCTACATTACCTACATGAACATAGGCATGTTCATTAATGTTCTGAGTCTCGTCTGAAAAACAAGGCCAGTGATGGTAACCACATCATAGAGATGTGAAGATTAAATAACATATCCGTGTAAAGTTTTTGCACTGCGTTTGCCATGTAATAATAGTTTACATTTGGTACCAGCCTAAAGCGGTTTCTTTGCCTGCACACGTCAAGGCCCAATAAGACACCACCAACAGGAGTTTGTAGCAAAGGAAGGGTTTATTTTTAGGAAGTGGCCTAGCCTAGACATGGACAAGCTAATGTTCAAATCATGGTTCCCCCATGACTTCCAGGGCATGGGTTATGTTGGAGAAAGATCATTAATCACGGTGACTAAGGGATTTTGCGTCATGGTCTCTACTGATTGGTCAGAGCTAGAATAGGGGGTCATTAGTCAGTGCATCTGGTCCTGGTGTCAGCCATGGCATCTCTCTCTAGTTTTGCCACCTTGTTTTTCTGGACCTGGAGCCTGCAACACAACTGAAGCTTAGCTGTTAATTCTCATTGGACTTTGTAACTCTATCTCTGGGGTCAAAGCACCCGGAGGCTGAGGCTTTGTTCCTCAGGTTATTTGATGCTGATCAGAATTTCTTTGTCCCAAAGGCTTAACCACTGAGGGAGTGGCCCTGTAAGAGAGAAGGAGGCAGGTGAGTCAGGATGCCCAGTGGGGCCAGTAAGAATCAAAAGGAAAGAAAGGAGAAAAGGTCATATTAAGAAATGAAGTTTCTACACAATTACATATGATTTAATGCTTACCACTTTTATTCCCAATAGAAAGTTCCCTAGATATGGACTCTCTATTTATTGCTACATATTTTCTTTGAAATTAATGCATCCAGGAAATAAATGCTAACAAAGAGATAACGGCAGTCCAGGCAGCTGTTAGGAAAACAATGACATAATCCACCATGTAACTTCCCTACAGCATAAATATATATTTTTGCCAGGGTAACCTGAAGCAGTCAGAAGTCTGAGCCAGAGAAAAACCAGTATATCCAGGCTCAGTAATCTTACTCTGCAAAAGCAAAGGCAGACTTGAATTACAGAAGTGCAGCAAGACATACTTGCCATTCTTAAGTCACAGACTCAGTCCTTAACATTCACCTAAAATATCTTCTTCAGATACAGTTCCCTTCAAATATGTATTTCTTCTTTCTAGGATTTGTACATATGGCTTTCCTGGTTGCATTTCAGATCTTAGGAGACTGTATCATAAAAAAAGTGCCAAAAAACTCTAGGTTCCTGAATTTTCATTTTGGTAACATATAGGATAAGCAACACAGTAATAGTAACCATTATCATCATCATCATCCCAAATTTATATAAATAATTCCTAATGTATGAAATTAGCAATTATTTTTCAATGAAGGTAAAACTAGGACCAGAGAGCTTGCTCAGATTTCTTTGATTATTACATTGTGGGTAGTGTATCAAAAACAAAGTAGGTATCATTTGTCTCAGAGACTCAGAAAACTCTTGCTCTATTGAATCTCAGATCCTTTTTCTATATTGTTGGGTAAGCAGCATTCATAGACTTACATTTCTCTGTAAGGGCACATGATGAAACAGCAGCTTTAGCCACGTGAGAACCTTCACTGCGCCTCTGTACTGGCCGCCTGTTCCTTGCTCAGCTGTGTCCTTCAGGGTGGCAGAGGCACACCCAGCTGTACCACACAATGAGCTCAATGTCTGGATGCTCAAGTAAGGCAGCGTTCTGAGAAACCTTTGAGAGAAATCAGTCTTAACCAGAATTTTTATTTTAGCTGTCTGAGAGCAAAGTGAGGTGAGACTATCAGTTCGTAATACCAGTTTAATTTTGTCTTCCATTTTTCTAAGAAGACTTAACAAAATACAAAAGAAAATCCCAAATACTTTTTTTCTTTTTTAATAGGCACTGAATACTTACATTCTTTATAAAAGTAACAAACCTTCCTCTTCTTAAATATATAGATAGAGGTTCCAAAAAAATAAGAATGCCTCTTTCACTTTCTTCTTCCTCCCCCATCCCTCCCTCCCCTCCTCCCTTCCTTCCTTCCACCTCTAATCTTTTCCCTCCCCTCCACCTCCCTTTCTCCCTCCCTCCCCCTTTCCTTCCTTCTTTCCCTTTCTTCTTCTCCTCCTTTTTCTCCCTTCATCTCTATGCAACAGCTCTCTTCTACTGTGGAGTACTACCAGAAATAGTATTTGGAGCCCTGACTGGTTTGGCTCAGTGGATAGAGCATCAGCCTTTGGACTGAAGGGTCCCAGGTTCGATTCCAGTCAAAGGCATGTACCTTGATTGTGGGCACATCTCCAGTGGAGGGTGTACAGGAGGCAGCTGATCTATGCTTCTCTCTCATCAGTGTTTCTATCTCTCCTTCTCCCTTCCTCTCTAAAAAAGTAATAAAATATATTTAAAAAAGAAAAAATGAAATAGTGTTTGGGGTTTTAGGAGCTCTGTTTAAAAGAAAACTGCTCTTTTGTTGGTGGGGCATGAGTTCCATTTCCTTGCAGGCCAATGCTGAATCTCTTTAACTGAAAAAATAATTCCCTTTGTATGATGATTAATTTATCACAGACTCATTTGCATAGAAACAGGAGAAGAAATCACTGGATGACAAAGATGAGAGCAGAGTTGACAAAAATGAGAGCAGAGTTGCATCATATTATTTTTTGATATATAAGTGCTTTATATTGAGGAGAGAAATAATTTTATGTTTTATCCTTTCTCTGATAAAACGATGCACTGTGCTATTAATGCTGTGTCTGTTTCTTCAAGTTTTAAGCTTCAAACGTAGATAAAAACTTTCCCTTAACTTCCTGTGTAGCTTATTCCAGGCCCAGCCTTTCTGATCATCCTTCCTTTAGCCTTTCGTCATTAGGAAACTCCTAGCCTCTGTGTGGGGAATCCACCAAGCCCTTAGTTTTTCCATCTTTGAATTTTTTAAAAAATGAAAATTGCTTTATTTGTTGCTTTAAAATGTTCATTATAAATTTATTGAAATAATGCAGAGAAATAAATAAGAAACATTGAAAATTATTTAGTGTTCTAACATTCATAGATACTTTTTTTTTTAGTGTTAATGTCTTGATATATGATTTTTTAGATTTTTTTCCATCTCCTTTTTGCCTTTGTGTGTTTATATGTGTCTATCCATCTCTGTCACTTGCTCTAATGGTCAGTATTATATCATGAACACCCTTTCATATTATAAATATCTGACTACATCATGATTTTAAATGCGTGCATAGCAAACCATTAAAAAATGTCCCTTAATCAACCTTCTTTTAGGGGTTTAGGCCATTAAGTTGATAACATTTGTATTGATTCTTAAATTCTGAAATGAGTCAGTGATTATGTCATGCAGTGGAAGATAAAAAGATAACTCGTTGCTGCACATAAGGCAAGCTTCCTATTGCAATTTGAATAAGAATTCTGTGTTTTATCTGTGGAGAAATGTCTTTATACACTTTTTATTTGTTTGGGAGGAATATACATTAAAAAAATAAAGCTTATAGATAATAACTGCAACTGTGGAGTTGCTTTTTTGGTGGGAAGAGGTGGTTAACACTGAGCATAAGGTTTTGTAAAGAGCATAACATTGAAATCCACTGCCTAAAACAACCCCAGTCATTCCTGCAGAGTATACGAGGCAGCATCTTATCACCATTCATTTCATGTCTTTTTGGCCCACGGCAGTGGTTTTTGGTTTTGTTAGTTTTTTAAACTGAGTATCCAGCTCATTCACTCATTCAAATGGTGCTGATGATCTTCCTGGGGCAGGCGTGCAGCTGGATGCTAGCAACGCAGAGATGGATGTGGCTTGTTTTCTCCTCGAGACTCTCATGGTCCACACCTGGTGGGGAGCGTGGCTGGTTGCTTGCTGCTGGGAAACCACAGGCAGCCTCCGTAAGAAAGGGACATCCGCTGGCTTCGGACCCAGGGCTCATCCTAACCTGGGTGCTAATTTGGACGCATCCCTTACAATGGTTTTCGTCCATGTCCCAAAACATGTCTTGAAGACTCTTTGTTTTGGGTAGCTTGAAAGTCACTCTTGGTCGTGCTAATTGGACAGCAGAGAGGAACAGCACAGCTGCTGGCTGAGGCTAGTTCTGGGAGTGAAGCATAAGGCCCCAGCCACGTACTTGACATCTTACTTCTTCTTGAGGGTGATTCGCACTGAGAGGTGAAAATGCACAGAATCACTGAGGGAGGAGGTAGCTGCTGCCTTAGCAAGCTGAAGAGTCACATTCAGCAACCTGATTGTGTGCTGCAAAGACTTCAGGATTTGCTTAGAAGATATTTTTATATAATCATCAAGGCACTATAATATATATTCACTCATATTAAAAAAGAACAAGAAATGACTTCTTACTGTCCAGAGGTTTTTATCTAAAAGCTTCTCAAACATTAATGTGTATAAAAATCACCCTTGATCCTGTTGAAATGCAGATTTGTATTTCTTAGGTCTGGGCCATGCCCGAGTTTCTGCATTTCCACAATGCTTCCAGGTCATGCTAACACCTCTGGTTATGGATGGCTTTCAGAGTAATCAGGATCTACAATGTCTTCATGCCAATAAGGATTCTCCTTTTGTGACTTCGTCTGTTTTTTGTTTGTTGTTTGTTTGTTTGCAGCTGCAGTGATGGTCCTAAATAGCATGAGTGTCAGCTGGAGTGCCCGGATCCAGATTTTCCTAACCTTTTGCAAGCTCATAGCAATTCTGATAATTATAGTCCCTGGAGTTATGCAGCTAATTAAAGGTATGGACTGAAAAATAAATGCTTTTTAAAGTACGTATCTGCTTTTGGTCTCTCCAGCACTAACTTTTGCTTGTACTAGCAGAATCCCTTAATTAGTCTCTGCTTGTGGATCTTGGAATCTATACTGTCATCTAATTGATATGAAAGCCTGCTACCCTGAGGATGAGTTGGTATTTAGAGCTAAATGGCAACCAGAGCATTAAGACTGGGCCAAGCAACAAAATAAGGCATCAGTGAATTCTCTCTCCGTGTAAACTGTTTGAAGTGAAAACTCAAAATGGGGAAAAAAAATCTGCAGTTAAAATTGAAACTAGTTTAGTGACAGAAATGAAGATTAAAGATATCTGGATCATAATAAAAGATGATCAATAATTCCTTTCCTTTATGGTTACTATTCTTTTTACCTTAAAAATGGAATTTTGGCAGGGAGACAGATGAGGGAGTAGCAGTTCTAAAAACCAAGTATTGTGTGACAAAAATAGTGGTGAATACTCAGTTATCATTGTTACATTATTTTTAAAAAATATATATTTTATTGATTTTTTACAGAGAGGAAGGGAGAGAGAGAGCTAGAAACGTCGATGAGAGAGAAACATTGACCAGCTGCCTCTTGCACACCCCCTACCGGGGATGTGCCCGCAACCCAGGTACATGCCCTTGACTGGAATCGAACCTGGGACCCTTCAGTCCACAGACCGATGCTCTACCACTGAGCTAAACTGGTTTCGGCTTTTGTTACATTATTTTTTAATGTAAACTCTGCATTTTAACAGAAATGTAACAGCGTTTTCTGGGAGTACTTGCCTCATGGAGTTGACTGTTTAGTAAGAAACCTGAGATGGCAGAGGGGGTGATGTCATTTTGAGTTTTAGTTGTTTTAGGGAAGGAGGCACATGCAATAGCTTGGGTTCAAGGAAAAGTGTTGGAATGGAAGCAGGCCCAGGTGAGTTATTTAATTAGCAATGGGCAGGATAGTAGGAAGTAACTAGAAAAGTGATTTGCAATTGTAAGGGAGTGACCTATAACTTGAGCATGTAAAGTATTTAATGTTTACATGGACATTGTCAGTTCCAAGAAAGGGAATTTACTGGGAAGTTTAATGAAGTTGCAGAGGAATTACACAAGGCAAAAGATATGCCAAAATTCAGCAAAATGGGTAGAGGCATTAAACAATAACAAACGGCAAAAGGTCGGGGGAAGGGATTTGCTGTTGTCCACTGAATGAGCCCAGTGGGAATTCTTAGAGGCCTCCTGACTAAATGTTTGCATCCAATCCAACAACCTTGGCCTACGCAGAATAAACACAACAAAGAGAAGACAGGAGCTGGCTCTCCTCATTCACGTTGGTCTCCATAGAGCTGGCCTGCTCAGATTTCATCTGAGCCATGAGAAATGTAGGGAAAATGATGTTTTGTTGGAGTTTTCTTTTTCTGGGCTAACTCTTTAGTCTTCTGTAGGGAGCTTCTTCCATTTTTGGAAAGTATAGAAACTCTGCATCATTGACTCACTTTAGGTCTAGCTTAGGTTCCAAAAGGTGATATATCATCCTTGAAAACAAGATCTTCTCCCTCCCTTTATCTTTTTTGGTGTAATGTATGACTGTAGTCAGTTTTTACCACTTAAATGTGTGTGTGAGATGAGAGGAGGTTGCCCAAATACTATTGTATTGTAGATTCCTTGAGAGCAGAAATCATGAGATACCTTTTGGATGCTTCTCAGCACTTTACACTAGAATGAACTTACGATAAAATCTTAGAATATCCGAGTTTAATATGACCAGGCTTCCTCATATATCTAATCTGAGAAATGCCCCCAGAATATTACTACATTCAATGTAAATTTTAACATTTTGGAGAGCATTCTTAGCAGGTATATTTACTCTAGTATTATACTATGAAATGGTGATTTTCTTTTTCTCTAACTAGATCATATATTTTCCACATGAATTTGAAACTCCAGAGAGAAAAATAGTGTTTTTTTTTTTTAGTGTTTTTTTTTTTTACTAATCTAGATAAGCATTTATGTCTATTCTAATCAGATCCCTAAAATAGTCCTATGGTCTGTATTTACTTATGAAGATGTGTTAAGCTTTCCTATGAAGATCATGACTTTCATCTCCCCGAGACCTCTCTGATGCGGTCGCAGTATCCCTGGGGTTCAGCAAGGACTCTCTTCTGTAATACTCACAGAAGGCACTTCTTAGGATCTGTGCTTGGGACCTGATCTTTATTACATTTGGTTTTTCTTACTGATTATTCAGTGTTATTAGGAATTCTTAGGCCAAGGAGACCACAGATCATGATAAAAAAAAAAATACAATAGATGTTTTTATCAGAGTTCCAGCCTTTATAGTTCCCACTTATGCGGAAGAGGTGTTTCAGTAAAACAGGCATTTCTGAATTTACTGTGTCATTTTAAAACAAGAGCTAAATTTGGAAATTAGAGAAAAATCATTTAGTGTATAATTCAACATTCTCCACTGTTGGTCTCAAAACTCACACATATTATGTTGATATATCTGTTGTTGTTGGGCAATCCAGGCAGCAACTGAGAGGACTGAAGAGAAAGGGTCTCATATACTTTTAATTTACTTAGGTGAAGACCAATTTTGAAACGATGTCACACTTTCTATTAGAATAATCTCATTTGCTATTTGCTTTGGGGAAGAGACTTTTTTTTTTTTTTATGCTTCACTTTAGCTACTGTCTAACTAAATTTGAATTCTTGTTTTTTAGTTATTATCCAAAAGACATACAAGGAAAGGGCCCATTATGATTCACAAAGCAGAGAAAAATGTGATCAATAAAGTGTGCAATCCACATGTTGATGCAAAATTTGTTGAAATGTATCTATTTTAAAGTTCGGTATAATTTATTTCCAGTGTTTCTAGAAGAAACCCATGCCATTCTCTAGAACAGCATCAGCAGACTTTCTGCACAGGGCCAGATACGAAATCTTCTTAATTTTGTGTGCCGTTTGGGCTCAGTCACAACGACCCTACCCTGCTGTTTTAGGGTGACATTAACCATAGGCTGGCAGTGTCAACCATAATACTAGTGGCCTGGCTGCACTCCAATAAAACTATTTACCAAAGAAGCTGGGGTGGGGGGAGTGGAGCAAATTTAGTTGCAAGTGTCTAATGAACTACAGGGGAAAAGCAGGAAGTTGAATATCGTAAGAATGTGATTCAGGGCTTTCTTGCCACCTCCTCCTTGAGAATAAATCATTGATATTTCTTCCCAAGCATTCTATTATCTTCATTTTAAAGAATTCTGCTATACTCCTATAAACTGTAGGTTAGCAAAGATCCTTTAATCTTCACTCATGATCAAACTCTGTCAAGAGTAGAGGCATGCTCAAATAAGGGATTTTTTAAAAAAATACCATTTTCCTCTCTGCTATAATTTTATTAAAAGAGAAGTTTAAAGTAGTGTTAGTGGCAATCAATATAATTTGTGGACTCTATCTCTAGAATGAATACAGTATTAATAGATGACATTGGCAATGGGCAGATGGTGATAAACCTAGACCCGAAACAGTATAGTTTTTACCCAATCTCCTCAGCCCCCTCCTCATGTTTATGAATAATAACATTCTTTAAAAGTTTTCAAATCTTTTTCTTCTCATTGCAGGGCAAACACAGCACTTTAAAGATGCCTTTTCAGGAAGAGACGCCAGTATCATGGGCTTGCCACTGGCTTTCTATTATGGAATGTATGCATATGCTGGCTGGTAAGTGCCTAACTGTAGAATGGTAGTGAGTCTGGTTCATTAACTCCTTCTAGTGCTTCAGTTTATTGCCAAGCAAAGTGCTAGGCAAATGTGACAACCCAGTGCCATTTACTTTACTTGACGTGAAGAAGAGGGCATGGCTTCTTCCACCAGGCCCATTCCTGAGCATGTAACTTAATGCAAACAGAACTGAGGCTCCCAGTTGAGGTGACCACTAGATTGAGCCTAAAGTCATAGAACAAATGCTGGGCCTTATGAACCAGTGCAAATCACTTGTAAGTGTGGATCAGGAAGGACATATAGTGCTGGGAGATATTGACCATTGCTGCTTTGTTTGTCCAAAGGCCTTTCAGGGGAGAAATAAATAATGCAGATATAGAAATAAGTAAGATGCTCCCAGGAGGTAAAAGGCATGGAAGGAGAAGCCAATAATGAAATCAATTGTGCTAGATAATTTGTTACATTTTTTAAGGGACCTTACAAATTCCTTAAAACGTTCTCAACATTTGAAAAGAAAATATACAGCCAGGTTCATGAAAATCACCAGGCCATGGAGGTGCATTTCCTTTGAGGTACTTCTAACTGTGGTACCTTTTGGGGGAAGCACTGGAACTTGGTATCTGTGCCTTGTTTTGCTTAGAAATTTGAATAACAATAACCATGGAGAAGAGTGGGATTTTTCTTAATTTAATTTTATTGATCTAGTACAGTGTTTTCCAACCCTTTTCATCTCATGGCACACATAAACTAAATTTTGTGGCACACCAAGAAATATATATATATTGCTGATCTGACCCCAAAAAAAGATATAATTTTGATTCATTCACACTGGACAGCTTTTGTTATGTTGGCTGTTATCATTTTTTTTTTAATTTGATAACTAAGGGAAAGAAGTCAGTGGTCCTGACAAAATAGTCAGATATTACATGTTTAAAAATTTTTGTGGCACACCAGTTGAAAATTGCTGACCTAGTAAGATTTAATTGAAGCGATTTTAGCTAGAAAGCCCAGTAGGTAAAAATGTATAATTTAAATATCAAAATTATTGTAGTCAAATTAAATTGTACTGTTTTGGGGTGATTAGTAGCAATATTTCTTTTTTCTTATTTATAGAGCTAATAGTTGTACAGGTTTAGCTGTGAGAATGTTCTATGAGTCTAAAAATATCAGGAAACCATACTAGTTCAAAAATTATGTAAATACATTTCAAACACAAGTACAATTTTCTTCGGTTTCTTTAGTTTTTAACATCTTACCTCCCAGCTAATGCATGGCATATAAAAATATATTTCCAAGTAAATGGAGTGTTTACCCTATTAATCTCATTGAGTTATGAAAATATAGCAGCAGAGGAGAATTAAGAGAGAACAGGAACTTAACTTAAAATTTTAACATGGCTTTTTGCAGCAAAATATGTTTGAAGGTTGTTAAAAGACTGTAGCTCTAAGGAATCTAGCATAAAATATTTGCATATTACTGGAATACTTTTATATCCATTGTGTGTAAGCATTAGTCTTGAATCCCTCAGTATTTTGAAGTCCTTTTAATTTGTGTCCAAAGCACAATGTGGTGCTGGGCAGAGAAAAGAACGGAGTTGTGATCACAGGGTTAGCACTGGAATTAACTATTCTGTGGCTATTCAGCCGGGATCAGAGCTTGGGAGCCCTGGGGCATCAGCCAAGCTACTGGGAAGGTCACTAGGAGACACCAGCACGAAGTGGGGCGGTGGCAAAAGCTTTCAGCTAGAGCCAAGTGCCTGGAGCCTGGGAGTATTCAATCAAGAATGTGGAATGTGGAGATAGTCACAAGGGAGATTTGATTAATTCTATTGAATGAAGTTTCTTTTGCTTGTGAGTACGATGCATCTGTTCCCACGGAATATTAAAATATTATCCTACCTAGCACACTCCCCGCTGCTACCAGCACTGAATATTCAGGTCACCTTCTTTATCTGGAGCAAATCTCTACTTCTGTAGGCTTTTGAGGGTTGATAGATTTCTTTATGAAGACAGATTCTTTTCATGTTGAATTATCTTATTACTTTAATTTTTTTTTCTTTTAAAAACTATTCTTATTGATTTCAGAGAAGAAGGGAGAAGAAGGGAGCAATAGAAACATTAATGATGAGAGAGAATCATTGATTGGTTACCTTCTGTATGTTCCACACTAGGGATTGAGCCACAACCCTTACATGTGTCCTGACCTCCTGATTCATAGGTCGATGCTCAACCACTGAACTATGCCGGCCAGGCTATATTTAATTTTATTGACATCGAACCCAAAATGTTACTCTTGTTAAAATGATTTAAAAGGAAAATGTAGGTGATACAAACAACCGTGATTTAGCACTTCATAAAGTGGGCAGTCTCCACTCTCAAGGGTCCACAGAAACTGCACAGTGGAGTGGCAGGCAGGAAGCTTTTATTGGATAAAGAATAAGGAACAAAGAAGAGAAAAGTAGAAAATGAATAAGGAGCACGGAAATAAGTATAGAGCTCAGCATTGGCTTGGTTTTGGGGGACCCAAACTCCACGTTGGGCCTAAACACTTATCTCCGTACTGTTTATAGGGCAAATGGGGTTTACATGAACCTTTATCCTTTTACCCTTATAATCCTCATGTCTACTCCCTGTTTTAAAGAATAGGAAACTGTTGATTTTCTTATATTCTTGAGGATTCAATCATCGTTCTGGAAATGAAGGCCAGGATTTTAAATGAAATGTCATCTGATACAAGTGGCTTAGGTAGGGGACAGATAAGTAACTTTATTTCGATCACAGGTGGTTATGCTACCTGAAAGCTGCTTTGTGGACAGGCAGAATTAGTCTGGTTGTTAATCTATGGCCATCAGTCTTAAGGGGAAAAAAATGAAGCTACGTTTAAAAGAAATAGTCTATTGGCTTAAAGTTCCCGAGGAAAAGTTAATATCTGGATATAAATGGAACAAGAGGGAGACTAAAAGAGTTCCCAGGGAGAGGGGTGTTTATTAATTTTTCAGATGTGATCCTTTCTCTTTGACCTCTCTCTGACTTTCATGAGATATTTACGAGACCGGGTTGTGGAATTATAAATAAATGGGGCCCTAAATGAGCCTCCACTCCCTCCGCTGCTGTGACAATGTTGGATGGTGGTGGTGGGGGGTAAGCACAGGGGACAATGCACAGAAGGAAAGAAGCTTCCATTGCCATCAGAACTCAGTCACCTGGGGGGTAAGAAAGGCAGCAGGAGCCTGTTGTCCTGGAGGTCCGGCTCCGCGGGCAGTTCACCTCCCGCGTGCTGAATGGGAAACAGACGCTGCCAAACCTTGGCTGGGAGACCGTAGGATCTTGGCTGTGAGGAGTGTAGAACCTTTTTAGAATGATAAAAACTCCTTCAGAGAAACATGATGAGAGGGAAAGAAATCATTAACCCAGCCAGGTCACAGAGTTGGGTCAGAACAACTTTAATATTCTTGCCAATGTCTGTATTCAGAGAAATGTGCCTGCCTGTTTCCCTTATGGCCCAGGGGAGTTCAACAAATTTCAGCCTCATACCTGATCCAAAGCTAAATATTGGTTGGTGGGATTTTTTTTTTAAACTACGTGATAGAAAATAGGTTTTCAGTGTCTTTTTTTCTTCCTTTTAAATCCTTTCCTCAGTGGATTTGGTCTTTCTAAAGCACCTGTGGGGATTATTTTGTACCATTGTGTCAAATCCCATCGAAAGAATAAGATTCTTTTAAAAATAATTCACATGGTTGGGTACTGGAATGAATTGTCAGCATTGCTGTGCCTTTTACACACAATCATGGAAAAGCTGAGACAATAGACCTTGTGAACATTCTCTGGAGGCCTGAGATGTGAAGCAAAGAGGATGCTCTGGACTCATTGCTAGAGGCCAGGAGAACATAAAGGTGTATTTCCCGTAGGATGGGAAGTTTGGACAAAAATAAGAAGCTTTTTTCTCCTCACCCCTACCCTGCCCCAAGCCCTTTCCTTGTCTCTAGTCTCTAGAGCCATGACAAATATTTGAAATTGTGTTCTTTTTCATAAATATTTCCTTTCTTGGTTTAACATTGTTGGAAAAGACATTTCTAAAACTAATGTTAAGACAGAACTGGTTATTTTTTATATGAGAACCCTGGAAATATTTCTTTGTTTGTGTGCTTTTTTTGTTTTGTTTTGTCTTATTTACATTTTCTTTCTGTACTTCCTATTGCCTCTGGCTTTTAACAAACACATTAGATCCCTAAGAGTGCATATTCCAGATGTATTGATTGCTGCTTGCCTTCCTGCTATAACTACAACCTCTATTTTTAAAATGTATACTTTAGTCATTAAAAGACATCTTTGGTTGCTAACTTAAAAAATGTTTTTATTGATTTTTTTTTTTTTTTTTAGAGAGAGAGAGAAGAAGGGAGAGGGATAGAGAGATGGAAACATTGATGAGAGAGAAACATCCATCAGCTGTCTCCTGCATGGCCCCTACCATGTTTTGAACCTGCAATCCAGGCATGTACACTGACTGGGGAACTCTTGGTTCACTGGTCGACTCTCAACCACTGAGACACACTGGCCTGGCTGACTGCTAACTTTTTATTTTTTTATTATTATTTTTAATATATTTTTATTGATTTTAAAAAAGGAGAGAAATATCAATGATGAAAAAGAATCATTTATTGGCTGCCTCCTGCACGCACCGTACTGGGGATTCAGCCACAACCCAGGCATGTGCCCTGATTGGGAATTGAACCTGAGACCTCCTGGTTCATAGTTTGATACTTAATAACTGAGCTACGCCAGCCATGTAGGCTGCTAACTTTTTAGGTCAACATTATCACTACTGTTTTCTAAGCTATTTCCACTTAAAACATATCTTTAGAATATTAGATACCTTAACCTTGTTAAAATATAAATTTATAAAATAAATAATTTCAAGAGTTTATTTGAACAAAAATTGATTCCAATTGGGCATTTTCCCATATAGCAGATAGAAAGGTACTCCAAAGAGCTGTAAAAATGAAAGACTTTTATAGGTAGAAGGAAGTGGGAACAAGAAAGTTAGGCTACACAAAAAAGTATCATAAGTTGGTTACTGCAGATGGCCTAACTGTCTATAGGCAGATGGCCTAACTAGTTCTGGTCAGATGATTCCTGATAGACTGGTTTCAGATTCCATTTCTGAGAGAGCTAGAACTGTAATTAAGTCTCCGTTTGGTGACATGAGACTTAGCATAAGTGACTCCATTGGGGGCTTGTTGTCTTGTTTTGAACAAGCATGAGCATTAACTACCTGTTTATTAATTTAGATAAGTGTATTATAGAGATGGAATATGACAGGCTTTCTTATCTTTGTTGTAAGTTATGAGAAAGTTGAAGTCCAGCCATTTGGTTTTAGGTTATGAAAAGTTCCTACCTGTGACCCCAGGCTTTTGTGCAACTAATAAATTGATATTTTACCTCCTAAGGAACACTAAGAGAGCAGAAGGGTACGTTGAAAATGTCACTTGTTTATTTTGTGGAAATTTCCTAACCTATGAAATGAAGAGGTAGACAGGTATTTTTCTTTATATGTTCAGCTTTCCCTATTATGAACTCTTAGTTTTCCCACCTTCATGATCTAGTTATCTATGTATGTATGTGTATTTGAGGATGGAGTCTGCCTCAATCTTATATTTTGGGACCCTGAGAGGAAACTACAGGACTTTAAAGGGTCTCCAGCAGTCCTTTTGGTTGGAAAAAGAAGTCATATATGCAAGGTGGTGGACATTCCCAAATGAGACAAGCAGGGTCACAAAGTAAAGGAATCCTTAAATTCTTTTGGGACATACTTTTAGGGCAATATTTGTAATCCTATAGAACTTGAAAATGTAATATGTTTTCCCAGAATGCTTTTGTCATGTGATAGACCCAGAAAAATGTGCAGGCCTTCAGAAATATTCTAAAAGTTCTGTTCTTGCCTGGCCAGGGTGACTCAGTTCATTGAGTGTTGTCCTATGCACCTAAAGGTTGTAGGTTCAATTCCCCATCAGGGCACATAACCAGGTTGTGGGTTTGACCTCTGATTGAGGCATGTACAGAGGCAGCCAATCAATTCCTCTCTTTCTTCCTTCCTCTCTCTAAGCATGTCCTTGGGTGAGGATTTCAAAAACAAGTTCTGCTCTTTAGTTATCAACTTTGTATAATGCCTAACAATGTTCCTACCCTTAGCTGCCTAAATATACAAAAAAGAAAAATAGCAACTTCAGAAGCTAGTGACTTTAGGTTGCTTGGTAGGATGCATACTGGAAAAGAGTGAATTGAAAGGGACCCGTATGAATTGAGAATTTATTATCTTTTATCCCATTTCAGTTCCCACTTGTAAGCCTCTGTTTAATATCTAGAAATTAGATATTAAACAGAGGCTCCCTAAAACTGAGCAATGTCTTGTCATACTTCTATTGCCCTACTAGTTTTGATAAGACTTGACACCACTACTAAAGCCTGGATTCTCCAAAGCCAAAAGCTATGTGTACTTAAATTCTGTCCTCACTCTCGTGCCACACTCAGTGCTGTAGAATACTCAATCATGCATTACTCAGGCCCAGTGCTCATGTGCTCTACTCTGTCTGGGATGTCCTTATAACACTTCACCAGGGTAAATGTTAAACAGTTTTGAGGACTCAACTGGGCTGATGCCTCTTCTAAAAAATCTTCCCTGACCTGCCCATCTGGGGTTAGACCTGCCCTGGCTCCTATTTTGCCCAATTTGCCTTCCAGCATTGCCCCCTACACTTTATCACACTATTTTATGGACCATTCTATAAACCACGAGCTCCTTGAGGACAGAGACTAAATATTTTCCGCTTTCATGTCCCCAGTGACTGACACAAGGTAATCTCATCTGTTACTGGAGCAGATTTTAAAAATGGTAGGAAGTAGTTGGCAGTAAACATATATCCACCCTATGATCCAGCGATCTTATTCTGAGCATATAACCAAGTGAAATGAATGCATAGACATGTACAAGCATATCAATGGTGTCTATATTCAAAATAGCTATGAATTAGAAGTAATCCAAATGTGCATCATCAATAGACTGCATAGTGCTACATTCATTTGATGAATAGCAACAATGGAAAATACTAGATCACTGCTACACACAATATGGATGAGAATCTCAAACAGAAAGGCCAGCAAAAAAAAAAAAAAAAAAAAAAAAAAACCAGACACAAAAGAATAAACATTGTAAAACTGTTATACAAGCAAATATCCATCTGTTGTGATGAAATAAGCAAATCTAACCTATGGTGATAAAAGTCAGAACAGTGGCTGCCTTTGCAGGAGAGTGGAGGAGAAGGTATTACTGGAAAGGGCTATGAGTCCAGACATGCTTGATCTCTTGATCTTGTTGGCTACACAGTTGTGTAAAAATCCATCTTTACTCATTAAGATGTATGCACTTTACTGTTAGTACCTTATACCTTTATAAAAATGTTAAATAAAAATGAACTCCATCAATGCAGTTTAATAGGGAAATGATTTGCAGGAGCTTTTGGCTGTGGAACATTTTCATCATACTGTAAGTGTTTGCTTATAAAGTTTTCATAATTCTCAGGTTGATTTTAAACATTTGCACAATATACAGGTGGCATGTTATAGAACTGTATACGTGAAACCTATATAATCTTATTAACCAATGTCACCCCAATAAATTCAATAAATAAATGAACAAATTTAGAAACTTTGAATTATGATCATAAAATATATTAATTGCTTATAATTTGTATCTTTTTAGGTTTTATCTCAACTTCGTTACTGAAGAAGTAGAAAATCCTGAAAAGTAAGTAGCCATATTTACTCTGAAATACTTATGAGGAATAAATGTAAGGCTATATAGTTGAAATGTAGATCTCAAGAAGAAATTTAGTGTGGGCTAATCAACTTTATACTTATAATTATAATTTTCTTAGGCAGATAAACTTTATTTGATTTTATCATAAACAAGATGCCAATAACTTTATTGCATCTTCTACATTTGGCACTAAATTATAGAACCTGAAAGCATAAAAGAATAAAGTTATATTTTGATAACCTATTTTATACATCTATATATATACTTACCATGGATTTAACAGGGCCTTAGTTTCACACATTGATAATATCGATGTTTCCAAATATATACAAATATTGAAGGACAATTATGTATTAATTCAGAGTTTTTTTATTGCAAAGAAAGTTTTCACCTAAAAAAAAAAAAAAAAGAATACTAATAGTATCTGCCTCATTGGGTTGTAGAAATGAGTTAATGTGTATAAAGTACTTAGATTAGTGACTATTGATTTTTATTCTCAATACTAGAGGCCTAGAGCATAAAATTCATGGTCCCTCAGTCTGACCTGCACCATTTCCAATCTGGGCTGTCCAATCTGGGATCCCTCGGGGAATATCTGAATGCCGGTTTAGGCCCAATTCTGGGGATCAAGCCTAAACTGGCAGTTGGACATCTCTCTAATGATCTGGGACCTCTGACTTCTAACTGCTCACCTGCCTGCCTGCCTGATCACCCCTAACCACTCACCTGTCTGCCTGATCACCCCTAACTGCCTCTGCCTTGACCCCTGCTGCCACGGCTTCATCCAGAAAGACATCTGGAATGATGTCCGGAAGGTCGTTTGGCTGTTCTGTCTAATTTGCATATTACAATTTTATTTTTATAGATAATTGTTTGGTTGTTGTTATTATTATTATGTCCTTATTTTAGGAGAAAGGTAAATATTACCCAGATAAGAGTGTTTTCTATATTTAAATATCCTAAGCTGTTCTTTTTCTTCAGTGTTTTTGGCAGAAATATGAAAAATTATTTCACACCGAATTGAAGCTTGTTCTTTAAACTTTCAGCATTAAAATTTTGCATTTTATGATCTCTCCTATCTTGTGTACAGATTCATTGAATTTTTATATTTAGAGAAAATAAACTTGCATTTTAAAAGAGAAACATTAGCTATAAGAGTTTTGTAATAAATTAAAAGTAACTATCAAAACTGATGTAGACTAAGTTTATTATCACTGGTTACCTTGGATGAAATATTTTCATTTTCTGGAACTCATGGTTCTGAAAACTGTATTAAATATTCCTAAAATACTTTTATTTTGATATGATATTTTAATGTGCTTAATTAAGGAACTTCTCAGGAGAAATTAAGTAAGAATCTTTGGATTTTTAGGTCAAGATAATGAGTAACTATTGAAACTTCAGTTGAAGAAAGACCTGTCTGATACCATTTTTCTTTCATACTAGGTACTCAGATATTTAGTTTTTGCATGGAAGACTTTGCATAAGACTTAGACAACACATTTATTCTCTCAAAATCAAAATCCGAGATAGCCACAAAATCCCCTTAATGAAAACTACTGATTAAATTTGTATTATGCATTATTTATCAACCAAAGAAATTCAGGGTTTTGAGCAATTTATGTAGTGTATTAAATTAAAAAATAGCATTTCCCTGCAATGTTGACAACCAGTCCAAGTCTTTAAAAAATAAATCTTATTTTTTTAAACACAAAGAATGCTTTGGGACATATTCATGGTTGAAAATAGAGAACAGATGGTAAAATTATGTGGACCTATTCCAGATGTGTAATTTGTATCATTTTGTAGGTCGACACAGCTCCAAAGTACTTTTCGTTACAAGGGAGAAAAATTATAATTTCATCTCCTTTGTGATGTGCCAAGATAAATGTGTTTCCCCAACAGCCGCAGTGCGTGTGTCCAGGTGTGCGGCAACGCACAGCTCTCTGGCAGCTGGTGAAATGAATCATCAGCTGCAGGTACAACACTTTGTAGTATCCTCCTCCACCTAGGCAATAAATTTTGCCTTAAATTGTGACCGAAGAGAAAAAATGGTCATTACTTTAATCAGTGAAAATGTGATTTAAGATATGTTGAACGGCGAATACGGTTTTGTGATCACTATTGACAATCCTTTATATATATAATTTAACGTTGGTGAAAATCTTTCAAATTACCTAATTACTCTACAGAATAATTTCTTAGGAGCATGGCTTATGGAACAGTTCTGTAAGTGTAATAGCAAGTGAGAGATAACCTGGGAGATTAATATCATCAATATTTTGTGACTTCTTATTATCTCACCTATTCTTAATAGCTTATGAAACACTAATCCTAAAATTTGAGGCAAAATTCCTGCTATATGATTACCTTTATAATGTTAAAAAAATGTTCCAATGATCTTCCTTATAATGTTTTCTTCTCTAAAAGCAGCTTTGGACTATAGAAGTAGCAATCCTTAAGAGACATTTACCATTTTTATGTGAAAATGCAATAATATCTTTGACATTTTCCGATAATATAAAAATGTTGCATTTAGTAATTATCTATAACATGGTGACTGGCTCCATAAATGAATATATTAAAGTAAGAATAGTATGTTGAAGAGCATAAAAGTCCAAAGGTTAGATCACATAAGTGATCTATGAATATCTGATTTTTAAAATAATATTGCTCCTCCCCTCAATGAAGTGTATAGTAGTTATGATTGCTAATGAGTACCTTAGCTTTTAAAAATTGAAATGTTTTTATTTGCAAATCTAATAGGTTTTGCCTATGTTATTACTTTTGTGGCGACTGCAATCCATCATTGTTCAAAAAGTTACACAGTGCAAAGAACATATTATTGAGATGTATAATGTTTGTAATCCTGCTCTCAGATTGATAAATCATGCCGTATGTTGATAAAAGGCAAGAAATGAATTGCTTTACTTTGACCTTGGGAGTCTGAGATTAGTTGGTTTGCCTATTAGCCTTGTTTCGGTGTTCTTCTCACTTCATTTATTCCTTCTGTTCTGAAGAGTTGGAAATAGTAGACTTGGAGGAAGTCAGTAAAGCTTGATATCATCAGTCATTTTTGAAGAGCAGGCTATCAACATGCTCTGAATAATCAACTTTAATAGGAGGTTTAAATAATCAGAGTGTCATGTTTAATTAATACTATGCTTGCTGCCAATTTATATTAATTGATGCCTGAAAGTCATCACATCACACCTTGTACCAATGATAACTTTAAAGGAGAGAAACTTGGGTTGGGAAAAATGCCCAAAGACATTTAAGACAGTGTGATGGTATCAAACTGGTTCATAAATGGCCCAGCATCATGTTATTTTCATTCAGTTCAGATGTTGCATGCATTCATAGTATATGTGTTTTTATCCTTATCAATTTGTATTAAGCTAATGTAAAGGTATCTATAATAATAAAAGCATAATATGCTAATTAGACTGGAAATCCTTCCAGACATCCTTCCAGATGACCTTCCAGACAAAGCCAGGGCTGCGAGGGAAGCTGGTGTGAGCAGCTGGGGGAACGATGGCCTACTCTTGCATGATTTTTGTGCATCGGGCCTCTAGTCTATATATATATAAAAGCCTAAAGTGACTAAATGACCAGCCTAAGTGACTAATTGACCAGTCGCTATGAGGTGTACTGACCACCAGGGAGCACCACTAAGCTGACTGATGGGCACCAGGCACTGGGCTTATGGCTGGCAAGCACAGCTATGGCAGTGGTATGAGCATCCAAACTTTGCAGCAGTGTGCTACTGAGTAGTGGTGGCAGGTGCAGCAGGGCCAGGATGAGCAGAAGTGGCATGGGGCTGGCCGGGGCTTGGGCTCCTCCCTGGCTCCCTGCCACTTCGTGTACTACTACATCCCTCAGGGAATGTCGGACTGCTGGTTTTGGCCCGGCCATGGCCTGTGGCATCAGGCCAAAACTGGCAGTTCAACATCCCCAGAGGGGTCCCAGATTGCAAGAGGGCGCAGGTCAGGCTGAGGGACCCCACCAATGCATGAATCTGTGCACCGGGCCTCTAGTTTATTAACAATATTATATTTCTTATAGGACATATAAAACTATTAACCTGGTTAAAAACAGCAAAACAAAACAATTTAAAAATCTTGCCCAATTGTGCTGTAGTGAAATTGTAGGGCAGTACATTAAAAGTTGAGTGAAAGTCGTTGATCTTGCATTTTGGCATTTTAAGGGTGCAGTTTTCTATGAGAGATAAATCTCCCTTTTTATGTGTTGTAGCTTTCTAACTAGGAAATAGCATATAATGTCTCAACTGTATGTGCAGATTATAGCAACATTCTGTTTTTTATTTTTTAATTACAAAGTTATCTATCTACAAAGTTCAGAAAACTTCTAACATTTCTTTCACAAATACTCAAATAATATGTGCTCTTAAGGTATGGAAACTAATTGTCACAAAAAGTTACCCATTGCAAAAAAAAAAAAAAAAGCATTGTTAGAATATCTTAATATGTGACAGTACATTTCTTCAATTGTTGAAATCAATAATACCTAAATTAAATTCATTCTATTTGGTGCATTTTTTTCCCCCTGGAAACAGAAAAAAGGTTTGCAAATCAATTTTTAAATATGTTTCATAGCAGGAGTATAATTATACTGGTTGAGTCACTGAGGCAGGCAAAAGGTTGAGATTTGGCCAGATATCACAGAAAATAGATGATTCTGTATTCAGAGATCAAGGTTATCAAGTTACTTATTCTCACCTTTCCTCAGTTCAAATATTTTTCACTAATAGGACATGTGTTTATGTGTCCTGGGATCAAAATCCTTCCATTTCTCAGTTTTATATATGTATAAAAATGCATTTGGTTGAAAAAGTTTGTTCATATAAGGTTAATGTGCCAAATATGTGGTACAAAAATTATAGTATTATATTATAATATTTTATCAGGCAATAAACAAAGAAGATAGCTAATCCTTCAAGTGCTTTGTGGAAGTCATTTAGATTTTTT